ATATCCAATACTGTATGAATATATAAAAATGTGTTACCATATCTTTAAATGTACCAGTATTCCACACCCCTAAGAGCTACTCGCCAAAACACTTCTGTGCACACTAACATTTTCAAATGTGTGCAAATAATGTGCTAATTTATTTAAGTAACTTTTCCTGAGATAGTGTTGTGATCAAACCTCTGGAAGGAAGACTGAAAGGAGAATCTTGGCTCAGAACTGTGCTAATGTATTATCTTTTTCTGCCTTCAAAAGCTCATTTGCATGTCACTGACTTAGGGCTTAATAAACCAGAATGTGAACAAACAACATTCTGGTATACGAAGGCCATTGATTCCCACTTTGTACATTCCTTTGCGTGATTATACAAAGCAGGATTGTGAGAGCTGTGTGTGACATCTCAATGAGGACTGTAGGTTATTGTGTCCCTGATCTGAAATTACAAAAAGAACAAACCCTGATTGAAACTTGGCGTAAAATTCTGGGTCATTTGGGTATGACAAACCATAATCCTGGTTTGAACATCAGGCATTTATTTGCTTATTTTTTCTTCCCACAACATGGGAGTGCATGGGAAGTATGTCATTCTTATTCTAGTTTATTTATCTATAGTTCGTGGCTTAAAGTGGCATGCAAATAGGCCTACTGCATTTGCATGTGTTCAGGCACAGGTGTGTGTACCAACATTACCTAAATTTAATAAGGTAAGTGGCCCTTAACATAACATTTAGATATAACTAAATCCTGGGCATGAAACTGACCAAGAGAATTAATGCAGCTGCAGCACTGCTCAGTCAATCAGAGTTCTGTGAAAGGAAATTGTAAGGGAAGCTGGCTCCTGTTTGATCTTGTTCCATATAAGTTTCACCACACAGCAATGTTCGTTTACAACTATCTTCACAGACAGTTACTCTGGAGCAAAAAGGTCTGAAATTGCTTTCCTTCTAAATCTATTAACAAAATAATTAGAAACTAAGTTTCAAGATCTCCTTCTTGTCGTGGCGAAGGGGCTTGCATAGTTCAATGAAGCTATGAGCTATGCTGTGCAGGGCCACCCAAGACGGACAGGTCATAGCAGAGAGCTCTGACAAAACGTGATCCACAGGAGAAGGAAATGGCAACCCATTCCAGTATCTTTGCCATGAAAACCCCATGGACAGTACCAAAAGGCAAAAACATATGACACTGGAAGATGAGGCCCTCAGGTCGGAAGGTGTCCAATATGCTACTGGGGAAGAGCAGAGGAATGGTACTAGTAGTGCCAGTAAGAATGAAGTGACTGGGTCAAAGCTGAAAGGACACTCAGTTGCAGATGTATCTGGTGGTGAAAGGAAAATCCGATGCTGCAAAGATCTATACTCCACAGGAACCTGGAATGTAAGATCCATGAATCAAGGCAAGCTGGATGTGGTCAAACAAGAGATGACAAGACTGAACATCGACATCTTAGGGATCAGTGAACTAAAATGGACAGGAATGGGTGAATTTAATTCAGATGACCATCAGGTATACTACTGCGGGCAAGAATCCCTCAGAAGAAATGGAGTAGCCTTCATAGTCAATAAAAGCAGGAAAAGCAGTACTGGGATACAATCTCCAAAATGACAGAATGATCTCAGTTCAAATCCAAGGTAAACCATTCAACATCACAATAGTCCAAGTCTATGCCCCAACCACTGGTGCTGAAGAGGCTGAAGTTGACCGGTTCTATGAAGGCCTACAACACCTTCTAGAATTAATACCAAAAAATGATCTCCTGATCATCATGGGGGATTGGAATGTTAAACTAGGAAACCAAAAGATAACTGGAATAACATGCAAGTTTGGCCTTGGAGTACAAAATGAAACAGGGCACACGCTGGTAGAATTTTGTCAAGAGAACACGATGGTCATAGCAAACACTCTTTTCCAACAACCCAAGAGATGACTCTACACAGGACATCACCAGACGGTCAACACAGAAATCAGACTGACTATGTGCTCTACAGCCAAAGATGGAGAATTTCTATACAGTCAGTAAAAACTAGACCAGGAGCTGACTGTGGTTCAGATCATGAGCTTCTTGTTGCAAAATTTAGACTTAAATTGAAGAAAGTAGGGAAAACCACTGGGCCACTCAGGTATGACCTAAATCATCTCCCAGATGAATATACAGTAGAGGTGACAAATAGATTTAAGGAACTAGATCTGATCGACAGAGTGCCTGAAGAACTATGGATGGAGGTTTGCAACATTGTACAAGAGGTAGCAACTAAAACCATCCCAAAGAAAAAGAAATGCAAGAAAGCAAAATGGCTGTCTGGGAAAGCTTTACAAATAGCTGAGGAAAGAAGGGAAGCGAAAGGCAAGGGAGAAAGAGAAAGATACATCCAATTGAATGCAGAATTCCAGAGAACAGCTAGAAGAGATAAGAATGCCTTCTTAAATGAACAGTGCAAAGAAATAGAAGAAAACAATAGAATAGGGAGGACCAGAGATCTCTTCAAGAAAACTGGAGATATGAAGGGAACCATTTCATGCAAAGATGGGCATGATAAAGGACCAAAATGGCAGGGACCTAACAGAGGCAGAAGAGATTAAGAAGAGGTGGCAAGATTACACAGAAGAACTATACAAGAAAGAGTTAACGTCCCTGATAACCACGATGGGGTGGTCACTGACCTCAAGCCAGACATTCTGGAATGTGAAGTCAAATTGGTCTTAGGAAGTCTGAGAAACAACAAAGCTAGTGGAGGTGACAGTATTCCAGCTGAGCTATTCAAAATCTTAAGACGATGCAGTAAATGTGCTACACTCAATATGCCAGCAAACTTAGAAAACTCAACAGTGGCTACAGGATTGGAAAAGTTCAGTTTACATTCCAATCCCAACGACGGGCAATCCCAAAGAATGTTTGAACTACCACACCATTGCACATGCTAGCAAAGTTATGCTCAAAATCCCAGGCTCCAGCAGTAGGTGGCCGAGAACTATCAGAAGTACAGGCAAGATTTCGAAGAGGGAGGGGAACTAGAGATCAAATTGCCAACATATGCTGGATCATGGAGAAAGCTAGGGAGTTCCAGAAAAACATCTGCTTCATTGACTATGCTAAAGTCTTTGATTGTGTGGATCACAACAAATTGTGGCAAGTTCTTCAAGAGATGGGAGTACCAGAGTACCAGTCTCGAGAAACCTATATGCGGGTCAAGAAGCAACAGTGAAAACTGGACATGGAACCACTGATAGATTCAAAATTGAGAAAGGAGTTTGGCAAGGCTGTATACTGTCGCTCTGCCTATTTAACTTATATGCAGAACACATCATGAGAAAGGCGGGGCTAGATAAATCACCAGTTGGAATTAAGATTGCTGGGAGAAATATCAACAACCTCAAATATTCAGATGATACTACTCTCATGGCAGAAAGTGAAGAGGAACTAAAGAGCATCTTGATGCGGGTGAAGGAGGAGAGTGCAAAAGTTGGCTTGAAACTCAACATTAAGAAAACTAAGATCATGGCATCAGGTCCTCTCACTTCCTGGCAAATAGATGGGGAAGAAATGGAGGCAAATAGATAGGGAAGAAATGGAGGTAGTGACAGATTTTATTTTCCTGGGCTCCAAGATCACCACAGACGGGGACTGCAGCCAAGAAATTAAAAGACACTTGCTCCTGGGGAGGAAAGCTATGGCAAATCTAGATAGCATACTAAAAAGCAGAGACATCACCTGGCCAACAAAAGTGCATATAGTCAAGGCTATGGTTTTCCCAGTTGCGATGTATGGCTGTGAAAGCTGGACCATAAGGAAGGCTGAGCGCCAAAGGATTGAGGCCTTTGAATTGTGGTGCTGGAGGAGACTCTTGCAAGTCCCTTGGACTGCAAGGCGATCAAACTGGTCAGTCCTAGAGGAGATCAACACTGTCTGCTCTTTAGAAGACCAGATACTGAAGATGAAACTCAAATACTTTGGCCACCTAATGAGAAGGAAGGACTCCCTGGAGAAGAGGCTAACGCTGGGAACAACAGATGGCAAAAGAAGAAGGGAACAGGAGAGAATGAGGTGTCTAGATGGAGTCACTGAAGCAGTTGGTGTGAGCTTAGGTGGACTCCGGTGGATGGTGGAGCACAGGAAGGCCTGGAGGAATGTTGTCCATGGGGTCGCGATGGGTTGGACACGACTTCGCAACTAACAACAACAAAGTTTCAAGGGCAGTAATGTTTTCCTTTGAGAAGGAATGTAGGGCATTTCACCATATCCATGCTTTATGTTACTGATCCAGGTTAATGAAAGAGAAACATAAGGAAGATTTGAAATTCCCAGAAATCAAAACATATGCATTTATCTTGCAATATATCCTATTAACCTGAGTAAGATTTTTTTCATAGCAAATATGCATTGGATTTGATTTAGAATAGGGCTCTAAAAGCAAGTACTGAAGCTGGAGTATATTGATTATTGCCACTGGCACCCAGTTAAAATTATGTAGATGTGGCTCACATACATGCCATTACATATGGGGTGTGAAAGTCTTACACATGAGGAACTATAGAATTTTCAGTTACCAGTTTGTCACTTCCCAAGCTCACCAACCTTTCATATCACCTTTGGTAAATTATAAACTTTTTCTTATTTTAATGAAAATTACTCTATACAGGTGACAAATTATGGAAAACTTGTTCTTGCCTGTGCTACCCACCTCACGTATATACAGCAGCAAATTGCTTTAAGATGCCCCATTCTCTCTAAAAATGCAAGAGATACCACCTGTTCAAAGTTGGATGTTCTGATAAGAAGCAGAGAAAACATTACACAGCTCATCATTCTGGTTGAAGGACTATGACAACCCATTTTAGCTCTGGAAGCTACAAACCTAACCTTTGTGCTTACACCTCACTTTACATCTCACCTCCTCCCATAAGTTAGAGGCTGCTACTTAAGATACTCTTATCACATTAACATGAGTATTGATTTGTATTTGGTAAAGTTCAAATCATAAAACATTATTAGTTAAGCTCACCTCTTTATCCATACTCTCTAAATCCTCTTTACACATGGTATATAGTGGCATTGTCTCAGACATACTTGGCTGCCGTTTCCGTTTAGATGGCCCAGCTTCTTCATTTTCACCTGCAGGCATCTCTTCTTCATCAAAAAGTTGTTGATGTGGTTGAACAACTCTGGGGAAAAAACCCAAACTTTGTAATATAAAAATAATATGAATACAATTTAAAATGTCACATTCAGCACGGAATAGAGATTCATTTAAAAACTCATACAATGGAAAACCATGATCTCATTAATCATACTGCTCAATTTGGATTCTTCTCTGCTCCATTTAAAGGAATGCTGAAAGCAGTGTCATAGTTTTGTCAATTAAAAATGAGGATTAACCCATGACCCACATCCCTCCAGCTCTGTTTGTTCCACCAAGAGAAAAAAGCTAGAGTAAGATAAAAGTCTCAAAATTGTCCCCTTCTGATATGCACAAGATGAAAAACTACATGATTCAGAACAAAGGTCTTTAAAAAAGACTGGGTGTGCACATATGTGTGTGTGTGTGTTCTGTATCCCTATAAACTCACTTGGCCATGTGGTTAACTCACAACCCGTCAGACAAAATCCAAAAAGTAAAGTGTGCACGCAGGGGAACACGGAGACACAAGACAAATTGCCTATGATGTTTCACAAGTGGATCCAATATTTCTGTAAATCATGTAAAAGCTAATAAAGGACAATACTGTATACTTTTGATGCTCTTCTACTAGTTCTGCCATGGTAGCACAACCCTTTAGTGCAACAGGAAATAATGTTTCTTCAAAGAAGGTTTTCACAAAGGAATTCACTTAAGATAAAAAGTTCTGAAAGTACAACTGCTACAACAGTCAAGCAGGAACTGATTGAGAAGGAAGGGACCATGATGACTCCAGGTGGGCTGGGAACAGATTTCACACCAAGACAATTCTAAACATTGCTTTATATGGGAGTACAATGTATATATGAGACTACACAGAGGCCATGAAAAATCACCTGTTATTTATCACATCTATTTTTAAATGAGTTTCTTCCACACAGATTTTTAAAAGTGTAATTCGAAACATGCTTGGAGAACCTAAATGTATTTTTTTTAACACCAGTATGTTATTCAGACTGCCCTGAGCCAGTACCTTATATATTACTCTGACCCAAAAAATTCTTATATGTTGGCATGTAGGGTGGTGTATGCAGAATACACACAGCCCTGCATACCAGGTGATAGGATATTCATAAAGCAAATTAAATTGAGCATTTGTTTGCCTTTTTCTAAACAGGCTAATTAGCACAAATGGACTGTATGTACCACTTTGGATGCTGTGTATGGGGATTAAGTAAAGCAAGTGCACAATACTTCTTGTGCAAAAAAGGAGCAGATGCAGGAGGATTGGTGTATACTCCAGAAACTTTATTTTATTTATATTTTATACAGTATAATGTATAAATGCAGATTTCCTATATTACTCATTATGGCTGCAAACCAAAGAAATAATTCATGTATAAGAAATCATGCCCATAGCCTAAAACTGTCTTTAAATTTTTCTCCCATTAAACCAGGAGGAGACAGCTCCTTCTCAGCTTAAACAATAGTTTATCTCTTTGGCAAACCTAATATAGAGAAGATGTCAAAAGTGCTGTGTGCGGATTGTATTTATTTCTCTTTCTCACTTTTCTACATACAACACCCAAAGGACTAGACAGTAGTGATAATAAAATGCAGTAAAACATTAAAAATTACATTAACACTGCATTTTAATTAATGATCTCTTTGTTCATGGGTAATTTTCTACAATGTTCCATTCACTTTTTGCAACTTGATATTTTAAAAATGTAACTATAGCACTGGATACAAATAAAGCACTGGATGGGGAGAGCTTTCAATAGCAGGAGGTTTTCAAAGTGGATTAATCATGTGAAAAGTAGATAAACCTAAAAGATTATGAAGTTTGTGCCAGGCAAATTTCCCTGGGGAGAACTGTAACTTAAACTGATGGTGACCAGCAGTATTTTGACAGCATTCTTCATGGTAGTTGCTTCAGCTAGATCGGTTTCCCCTTACCTCTTAATTTTCTCTCAACAAGAGCTCCTGATAGTGAGGTGCTGTAGTGAAGATGACAGCTGCAGCAGAGAATGCTTAGGGAAAATGGAAGAGAGCATACATACATTGGGCACAATACTGGGCTCTAGAAGTATAGCCTGACTTGCAGTGTTGCACAGTAAGAGTTCCTCTGCAGGGGCAGGGCTAAGTGCATCTTAAATGTTATGTAAACTAGATGCCATCAATTTGGATCCAAGTTATATGCCAAATATGAGTGATAGCACAGATCACAGCAATGGTAGCACATACAGACTGTCACTGCAAGTCACTGGCTGCAAAGGAAAACCTGATTACCTCTCTGCTTTTGGTTCCACAGCAGTTTCTTGCTAATTAAACTTATTTAGCACTATCTTGGAGATTATTTGTACTGACTTCCCTCCAAACACTGTTTAGAAATCTAGTCAAATAACAAAAGATTATTCTCAGTAACATACATGCTGCAGAGCTGGACCCCCAAAATGCATCCTTTGTACCCTCTATAGGTTTTAGAGAAAAACAGTGCTAAGGGGACTTGAGTGCTCCTGTATAAGATTTTCCATTCATCCAATCTGTTGAAATTCAGATGCCTCTTAACCATGGATGTTTTGAAGAACTGTGGTGTAGAATGACACAGTGCTGGACACAAACACCTTTTAAATAACACAAGTTCTTGCCTGTTTGAAAACTAGGAAGTAAAACCTATGACTAGAGAGGTTCTTTGCAGGGATATAACCATTATTTGGTCTTACAGTGCAATAAAACAAGTTAATCTTGTTAACAAAATGCGACTACCAATACAACTGCAAAGTTATCCACCCCTGCTCTGGAAAAAGCAGTATTTTCCTAGACAGACAGGAGTTAAATGCAACAATCAGAACAATAATTAAAGCAGGAACAAAACCCAATGCTTCCATTTGGACCAACCCTGATTCACATTTTTTTGAGTTGTATACAATTCTTCCTCAGTTAAGATTTTAAGAAAAGAAAATTTAAAGGAGAAAGATGTTTATAAAGATCATAGTGCTGATTTCTATCAGCAGTTTAAGACAGGTGTAGAGAAGGTTTCTAAAAATAAATTAGGTTAAGACCTCAGTCTTATGCAAAAAGATATTGAATGAAACGGACAAATTGCCCTACAGATACAATGGTGATTCCCAATTTAAGAAGACTGCATGTGTTTTAAAATAGCAGTATTTGGAATCCCTCTCTGGCATTAACTGGAACACACAATTATCTCAGGAAAAAGGAAATGTGATAGCACTTACTCAGAACTTAATTTCTAATAATCTACTACACAGAGTAATTTAAAATCAGATTGTGTAATGTTATCTAGTAGAGGATTAAATATAGTTCTCCCTTAGGGAAAAATATCCTCTGTATTTATAATAAAATCTTAATGGTATATTCTTATCTGACTCTCTAGCAGTTCTACAATTTCCTTTCTGGATAGTTAAGTACAAAACACCATTAAAAGTTACCACAGTGATTCTGTGCATGTGACCAGGCTTTTTGCCTTGCCCCTATCCTCGATGGCTCCTCCCAGCCAGTTTTTACTAACTAAGCATTTAGACAGAATTACTGAGGAGACATTAATGTAGAAAGCCAAATCAGATGGTAGAAAAGAAGGAAGGAAAATCCTTTTATGGAGATTGATACACTCCATAATACTAATATCGACCAGTATGGTCAGCCCACCAGAGGGTATGACTCTTGAGCATGAAGTGGAATGGAACTTCATTATAAGTGCTTTCCATTTCCATCTGCTGCAAAGGAGACATTCAACATAGGATGTGTAACAGCTACCTTTCCCATCAAAGGTGACATAAAGCAAGTCAGTTTTACAACTGAGATAATACTTGCCATAACACTCTACATCTGGCAGAAGCATTCTATAATGCCTTATGAATGTGCAGAATGAGAACAATGTGGCTGTCCTACAGATCTCTAAGGGGGAGTTAGTAGAAAAAGCAGTGGAGGCAGCCAGTTGAGTCTGCTATAGGTGTGGATTTAGGGAGATTATTACATGCTTTGCGTCACCTATCATTGAAAACTTTTTGTTTTAAGGCTGTGGGATGAAAGGAAATTAATTAAGAGCCATAACATCTAAGTTCCTTAGTCCCCCTAAGGTATATCTTGATGGCCCTTCTCACATCCAGACCTGTTCAGTAGGTGAGGAAGATTAGTACAGACTGAATAAACTATGTTTTGAATTCAGAAAATAGAATGTTTATTTTGGGAAACAAGAATGGATTCTACTGAAGTATAACAGAGTTCTTACTGAATGTACAGAGGTGGCCCCTCATGTAGAAAGATGATAATATTGAAACTCTCCTAGTAGAAAGTAGAGTTAGAGCAAAGACTGTAAGACCCAAAAGATCTGAAAAAAGAAGTTGCTGAGGAAAGGTAAGAACGAGACACATCCCAGACAAGAACAAGGAACAAAGCAGGGGAGGCAGAGAAGCCCAGATCAAGGCAAAAAGCCTGATCACATATTCCTTGCCTGCCCTGGGTGGTGGGAAGAATTAACGCATGATGTCATACTTCACACTGGATGGTAATTGTATCACACAAGCACACTCCAGCACAACATCAAAAGCATTTGTTGGCATGATGGGTTTCCTAAGGAAATCCATCTTATCAGAAAACACTACTGATGTTGTGCCATTAGCTACACTAGTGTAACACAATTCACATTAAGGGTACTGTTGAACTGGATACTGTCCACCATTTAGCTTTTTATATGAAAATGTACATCATTTGAATTCATGTACCTGAATAAGGAATGCTCCCCATGGACTGGTAGAGTAAGAGGTGGAGCTGGTGGCTGAATATACAATGGCTGGCTAGAATTCTGAGATCCTTTTCTTATTAGTCTTCCAGTGTTGGGATCATATAGCCGAACCTCTGGACCAGGCTGACACTTTGGATGAATGGGAGTTGGATGGAAAATAGCAGTCTGGAAAGCACCGTGTATATCTGGAAACATGGCAGGACTATTCTCTCTGATAGATGAAATATTTGAAACATTTAAGTTAGTAATCTGCTTTACCCATTCCTTTATATATATATGATACATAGCAGTCTTGAGCTTGTAAGTTTAGTAGAAATTAGACCTGATAAATAATAAATATACTGAAAAGCATATTCAGAAACAATGTAAACATTTACAGAATTGTAGAGTTTTGCTCTGCAAAATAAACAAATAGTTCACTTCTAAATCAAATTTCTAAAAAAAGGTCAAATTTTGTATTGCAACTAAGCCAAGGTATTTTAAAAGGGGAAGAAAAAAAACTGTGCAAAAGAGAACATCTACTTTCTAATTTTAGAAGACATCGCTTGAGAGAGCTGATTCATTAGTTTGCATAACTTGCATTAACTATTTATAATAATTTCTTTTAATATATTGTCATAACATTTTCTTAACAGTAGCTGCAATATGATTAGCTATCTATGATTAGACTGATCTTCACACTCTCCTACTGTTGATGTACAAATCTGCATGTTAATGACTACCTTTAGCACCAAACAGTTCAGTATTTGTAGCTCACTGGCCAAAGAGCACTTCTTATATCCACAAGTATTGCTCATCAGATTTTATATTAGATTGTACCATTTTTTTGTTATTTACATTAAATACTGTGCAGATATGCAGGCATATGCATGCACACACAGAGTGTTGAAGTAACAGAACTGGTTGAAGAATATTTACTTTCGTCTTCTAAAACACAATTTGTTAAAACTAAAGGAAAACTGCATCCACTCATGAATACAGAAACCTGTTAATTAATATCCAGCAGTGCATACAAAGGACAAAATCTTTAACTAGTATTGCTTCAGTTTCTTCTATGTCTGTGGCTCCACTTCTCAGACCAATATTCCTACCTGATAACTGGGCATCATATATATACTGGTTGCTTACCTGCAGCTGCTGCTCTTTTAAGTGATCATCTCTGCATTCACACATATGGGCTCCACATCCATGCAGAACTTCTCTTTGGGAAGTTTCTATAGCTAAGAATGTTTTTGGCTGGAAGCCCTCCTTCACCAACACTGCCAATATATTATAGAGGGTTCCCAGTTTCCCCTAAGATTTTGTGGCCTTGGAAATAAAGTGAGGATTCAAACTGACTTTGGTGCAAGTTTAGACCAACTGTTGCTGACTTGGTGTGATGGCAATATTTGAATGCCACCAAAGTGTGGACAGTGGGGCAGCTGTGTGAATGTTCAAATGACCACTTAAAGATTAATAGTTACAGGTCTGACTTTCTTCCCTGTGGTCTCTGTGCATTAAGCATATGAGTGATTAGCTTAAACAAATTAATAATAAGGCAGAGGCATCCACTCCATCTCCTGGTCCCATGCTGGCAATGGGGAGAGTAACCATTAGCCTAGTATGTATGTATGTATTCAATTTGCTTAAAAGCCACTCTTTAGCAACATGCTTTCTGGATGGTCTGGTGAAGGAGTGGCTGGACCTGGTGGTGACATCACCATCACCTGCTCCTGGTTTGAGGGGAAGAGGATCCTCAATGGGAAGAGAGACCATCAATGGTGGGAAGGCATAGCAAGTCCCTAATCTCCCCCTCAGAGAAACACTGGGTCCCCACTGGTTCTATCACCAGGACAGTTGGAAAAGAACTGGGGGAAAAGGGCGGGAACCTCTCCCAGATATACAGGGTGGGGAGGGGCTGCAACCATAATGAGTCCAGTTGGGAAATCTTCCTAACAAAAGGTCCAGTGCAGATGAAGAGCCCATCATGTGTGATGCACAGAGACCACGAAGAAGAGAAGAGACCAATCAGAGCATTTGTGCTTTATATATTTTTTCAAGCATTCCTTTGGAAAGCTAGGGTGTTAAGTTTTATATTACAAAAAATGATTATTTTGGCAAGGTCAAGAATGAAATGCTTGCTTTGTAAGCTGCCCCAAGGCTTTTTGCAAAGGGAGCAGCATAAAAATGCTCTAAATAAATAAAAAAGCCAGATGTGTGCAAGTTTACTTTTGCATTATATTAAAGAATGTTTTACCTTTGTGTTTTAAGATAATCATCCTTCAAAGGAAACAATTGTTCTTCTACTTTGTCCCAACGTTCCAAGCAACTCCATAACCAATCTGGATTTACAATATGGAGATTTTTACAGTTTTGAGCTTGCCGGACTTTTTCTGTGCCTGTTTAAACAACCAATTATTAGTGCTCCTGATGGAAGCATTTTGCAATAAATGAACCTATGGGTAATTTTTCTAAATAACACGTAAGTTCCACTGATTTCAGTGCAGCTTAAGAACACATTTAAACATGATTTCAGTTGAACTTGGACCTTGTTAACTTTCTCAGGGCTGTTCTTTTACAAATCCCATTTCAGCACAATTAGTCTTCAATACATTAACAACTGCAGATTTAGTCTTAACAGGATGGCCTCTTTTACAAATCAGGACCCAACTGCAAAGATAGCACAATTCTTTACTGCAGGCTTACACAGCCTAGTGTGTCTGGACTGCACCCTCCATCAGCCTCAGCCAGAATAGTAAATAGTCAACAATGGAGGTGACACCAGATTAAGGAGAAATGCTACAGTGTAACAAGGCACAGCATTATTATTTTGCTTAGTTATCTATCTAAGCCCAAATGCTTAGATAGATAACTTACATAATCCCGAATACCAATTCTAGTAATAAATACAATTCAGGTTAAAGAAAAAATGCCCCCAAGTGGGCCTTTAGCATCCCTCAAGATTTCTTCAGTCACTGAATATTAGACAGAGCATTGAAAGCATCAGGTGACATAGAGCCATGGTTTGAATCTATAGCTATTACACAAATTTGGTTTGGTTCTACTCTACATTACACTTACCAGCTCTTGCTGCAATAAGGTGCGTTGGTTTATTGGGATCATCTTCATTCAGTACTAGGTTTTTTGCAATCTTAGCTCCAAGTGTAGTAGCATGATAATGCTCACGTGTTTTTTCTATTGGGAAATTTGTTGGGTATAGTCCACTAAATAATATTGTAACATCTGACAATACTTTTCGTTTCAGTTCTGGCACTATTTTTCTTATATCTGGAATTTCATCTGTTTCTTTTCTGACATATTTATCATACTTTGTATAATAATCTGTGTGCACTCGAACAAGAATCTCTTCAAGATATATTAAATGGTCATCATGGTCTGTATCATCATCATCTTCTTCTTCCATGCTTTGATCTAAAGATTCTCCCACAGTAATCCCTGATTGCTCACTGTTTTGAGACTCTGTCTCAGCTTCCTTTTTGTCAACACACCCATTTCCTAGACTACAAAGGCTATCTTGCTCACTCTCTTCATGTGTTTCCAGATCAAATGTCTTGGAATGGAGATTGATGCTAGGTGAAGAAACTGGGTCTCCGGAATGGTTCGACTGTCCATCCTTTTCTACATTAGTATCCGATCCCATCATTATATTTTCTTCTTGTACAGACTGCTTTGATTTTCTCCAGCTTCTCTTCCCTTCATTTTCACTATCGGAGGCAGAAGAGGATGACAATTTCCTAGCATCTAACCCACTATCACTTTCGCTATCACTAGATAATTCAAAGTCCAAATAATTTGTTACCTTGTTTTGAATCTGTTGCTTGCCTATAATTGTCCTATTATCATGGTCTGAAGACACATGAGACTCTTTGGCACTTGTTAGATCATTTGTATTAGTAACATCTGTTACATAATCAGGATCGCTTATGGAGTCTCTTACTTTAACTTTATTATTAGAATTCAAATCCCAGGATGAGGTTTCTTCACTGACAGAGTTATTGCCATTTATTCTCTTTGCAGATTTTCCAATACCATTGCTTTGTTCTTCTATGTTTTCAACATTTGCTACTTCAACATCCCTTGTGACTACTGCTGGATCAGATGCTTCCATTGATTTTGAGGAATGATTTGCTAAATTTAAAAATAATCAGATATATTTAAAAAATCAGTCTCTGAAGCCTGCTAAAATGCTTAGTAACAAAGAAGGAAACAACAAAAAAGTATCCCTTATTGCTTAACTATGTAATTCTACACATTTACTCAGAAGTAAATACCACTGGGTAGAGGTAAATTCTATACCCATTAGTGGGTATTGCAGCCCAAAAGTTAAAATACTTTATCCAATTATGTTTATCTTTTTTTTTAGATCAGAAGCCTGGGATTACAGGGGATTATTACAACATGTTGAAAATCACATAAAAAATATGAACAGCAACTGTCATCTATCAAAACCTCTCTCTCTCTTCTAATATCCATTAAAAATAAAAATAAAAGATTGTCCCACTCATAGAATGCAATTTGGGGCAAAATTTGAGTTTAAGTTTCTCAAAAATAATACGGAGACTTAACTGATTCTAAAATTAATTTATCTTGGACATTTTAGAAAGGTATCTGAAAGATATCTTAAACAGTTAGGAATTCATTGATTATTTCATAGGTACATAAGCTGATTTCAGTCCTGCATAGTCTGAAATTATCATCCTTTATCTGTACTGTTCACACTTTTACAGTGCAGTTCTTTCCAAGAACTATGACAACTCAGAAAGGATAAGATTACAACTCAATCCCTAAGACAATTTAATTAGCATCCTATCACAAAATAGCATCAAAAATGTACAATTACAGCAAAGGAACACAAAATACAGCAGGACCCCTATACCCAGAGAAATATGTTCCCATGTCCACAGTGGATGCCTGAAATTGTGGACAGTAGTGAACATTACATCTGCAGGGGGTAGAGGCACAAGACCCCTGTAAAAGTGGGAATATTTCTAAAGTGTTTGCGCCCACTGAGATATAAAACAAATGAGTGAGGCTGGCTAGTGACAAGAGAAAGAGCATGGCATCCCCAAAGTGAGTGTGTAGTTCCACAGAGATACTTGCATTTCTTTCTGTTTTGTGGGGGTCCAACACCCCTAACTCCTGTGGAGGGCTGACGGTTAACCTTAGTTAAGTGAAACTGCGATAACTGAGACAGCAGATACAGGGGTCCTGCTGTATATATCAAGAGAGTTGGCTGATACTGCATCACTCTGCTCCATCTATAGAATTATAGCCATATTCATACTTTACTGATGTACCTAACTAAACTTCCCATGGCAAAATGTCCTTGCTTGTGCTCTTTCTAAGTACAAAGAAATTAGTGGTGTGGTTAGCCTAGACTTGTGACAATAGAGACAGGTCAGGAAGCACAGCCGTGCTTCCCAGTCATTGTGTCAAAGGGACTTATGAGTCCACAAGAGCATAAGGAAGGACATAAAAGAACACGCACCAGTAAGTGCATGCACCAGCAACCTCAGTTCCACTACTGGAGTTGCGAGATGTAGTAGGCAGTTTCTATAAAATAAATAGCAATTTTCTAACCATTGCTAGAACCAATTTTCTAACCATTACTTGGCTTAAAATTTTAAACAACATTCAATAAATATAAAAGGAAAATCAAGGTACTGAAACATGAACTTATTAATTTTAGTACATCCAAAGAACTGTACATGATATGCTGCTGTTGTCCATTCAAGTAACAAGACCTTCAGTTTCAGTATTGCTGTCCCCCACAGAAAAATATAACAATGGAAAATTTTCTATTCCACATAATCAAGTAAGGGCCTATTGGGGTAGGTCAGTTCTTTCCTCAAAGCAGCGACCTTCCAGCTCTCATCCCCCAACTAGGCACCCAAGAGAGACATGCTGAATAGATAGCTTTGGTTGCATATATCCTTCTTCCATTCTTGGAATACATGGGAATTGTGCTGCATGACTGTCACATTCAGCAGGTAGTACAAATAATGTATGTTGTAAGCAATCAAGATGTGCTTACTACCCAACCAGAGGGTATGGTGATGGTTTGCCTGGGAAGACAATGGGGATTATTCAATATATTCCAGACATCAGTGTAATGGGTCAACACCTATTGCTTAATACTTTTAGCAGGAGAAAAGCTGGAATATTGAGAAGCAGTATTTTAATGCAAATCTTTCCATTCGCTTACTAGTACTATATTAACAACTGGTAAATCCCAAAACAAAAATGTACAAATATGTTTGCCCCAAAAGAAAAATGTACAAATACAAATATGGAACACTAAAAATATCATGGGTTCCTGGCCAACCACTTTGTGCCTGAGGACAAAGACTAAGTGCACTAGCTTCTTTTCCATATGAAATAAATTCCTCCCAAATGGCAGATAATGATACTGACAAATTTTGTAGCTGCATCAGGAGGTCCAGTAGCTAATCTGAAAAATACTAACCCATATCTGAAAAGCAGGTGAAGTAACTAATTTGGAAGCCACAAACCCTGTTCTGTTGGTTTTCAAAAACTGTTAAAAGATTAAGACTTTCACGGTACAGAAAAAATATAATTGCAAATGCGAACACCCAGTCTCCCAGCCATACACAAAAGTATACATATAATGAGAGCTACCTTTTTTCCTCATCTGAGCTTCTCTTGATCCAGGTGGTGCATTTATATCTCCTGTGCCCTGAAAGTATACGTATTTCTTCACAGTTATCAAATTAGGTGCGAATTTCCAGACATCCTCTCTGTCATCGATAATACAAACCATGGAATCTCCACAAGGAAATAAGTTTCTAGAGAAAGAAGAGGGAATCAATAAAATGGACTAATTAGATAGCTATTTTAAAATGACTGCTATTAAGCTCTGTCAACTTGAGAGAGAGATAAAACAAGAATTTATTTTAAATTTACAGGTATTTATAATTATTACCATTATCAGCTTGGTCTCTTGAAGAAATATTATTTCATCTGTATCTTTATAAAGTTTAGTATCAATGAATTTTGCTTAAAACCTTTCAGAAACCGAATTAAAAGCATTAAAACTGTCATATAAATTATCAGAAAAATGAATATGCATATAAAAATCCTTCCATTTAAATCAATATTCAAATCAGATTCATTAAAACATGCTTTTTGTTATACTAAACTTGAATATTAAAAACATGTAAATTAATAAAACAAAACACCAGTGAAAATGTAAAACGCTAACTTTCACGACACTTACTTAACAATATGCAAGTATCAGTTATATAAATCTACTGTAAATCTGATTTTTTGGGATCTGTTTTATTTATTTATTCAACTTATATTCTGCTACTATTCTGAAGGCTCTCCAAGCAAATTATATTAAATAACAATATTTCATAAAATAACAATAATAAAAACAACCTACAACAAAACGGAGAAACATGCAGCTGAGATCAGATATCAATGTTAAAATATATTAAATGTAAAAACAGTATAAATAACACCTAAGTATAAAATCAATTTTTAAAATGTCTGGAGAAGAGGACTGTTTTTGCCTGGTGCTAAAAGATGCAACGATGGTGTCAGGTGAGCTACTTTTGGAAGACCATTCTATAAATGTGGGACAGCCACTGAGAAGGCGAGACTCTAATCTAGGCTAATCTAAGAAGAATCTAATTAACTCATTAGTAGAATAAGAAGTAGGTGATTCCCCGTCTTCCTTGCAACCCACTGAGTGTTCTGACTCTGTTCCAGAAGGTTGCAGGGGGTCCTCCAGAAAGGATTTTGAGATGATGGATGGAGGAGAGATCATTTCAGCACACAACTGAACAGTCACTCAGAAGATGTTAGATTCTGCCCAATCATTTTAGCACAGATTTTTATTCCTACAAATTAATGTAATACATCTGTTCTTCCCACCAGCAAATCACTTCAACAGGGACTCAGTGCAACTTAAGTGTGATGGCAATTGAATTTTCTATGAATTTCTATGTAGTCAAGAAATTTTATTTCTATGCACAGAAAGCCAGTGACATAATTGTATTTGTGTGTATAGTTATGGATGGCAAGATGAGAATATACTGTTTTCCTGTGGTATCCAACTTTAATTTTTAAATTGGTTGTTTCCAGCAGTATTACTCTGTGCTTTCCCAAGGAATATTCTACTCCCAATACATACCTAAGGTTTCCAGTTTTAGAATATGGATCAATACATTCATCCCTTGATAATATTCGATGAGAGAAAAGCTTCTTTTCGGAGTCCAGGAATGCTTTTAAAGGGAAAAAGTCTGGAATTAATTTATTTGGAATATTATTTTACATATTTTCTGCAAGTAATGTATTTTCTGGAATATTAAGGATCATTTCAGTGACAAATATATCTATATCATGTTCATAAATCAAATTAATTAATGAGATCACCAACTACATTGATCTACTACATTCAAATTGAATACAATGAATTAAATAACTGCATAGATCAAGATACTGATTGGAAGGTATTAAGGAATGTGCAATAAACACCTACCAATGTTAGTGGAAACATGATAAAATGAATTCAGTAGGGTATGCGATTCTGTGGGATGGAAGCTAAATTTTTTAGGATTATGTGTACAGCAGTATAGTCACTTAACCTTTGAGTAAATACACAAATCTTTAATATCTGACCCCAAATTTCTGCTTGTATTTTTTAAGGTTACCAATATACCCATCTGAAAAGCTTGTGTACTTTTAGGCTCGTATTTCAGGACTGAAACAATTCCCTCCTCTGTTTGATACTATACCTTTAGTCTACAAATAGCTAAAGCAGTGGAAAATATGCTACAATACTTAAGCAAATTGAGCAAGTTAAGGAAAAGTTTAAATAGACATTCTTGCAGTTGCAGGTTTTAAGTTATACTTGTAAGATGTCTACATACATAATTCTGAGCTATCTTGAAAGAGGTTTTTTGTAAATAACCTTAAGAAAACTATATTTGAAGAACAGCAACCAGTTTCTAACAACAGGAAGAACGATGCATTTCAGTTGTTTGTTATAGAAACAAACTACAATTTCATCAAAGCTTGTGGGAAGGAATCCAACTTTTTATTAGATTGTTGCACCGGTGCAAGAAAAGACAAGCAACTGCCGGCTGTCAGAACATCTACTGTGGGTAAAAAGCACTGAAGACTCCCTGGTCATGTATGCCATATACTAAATAAATAAATTGGATTAATGCAGGCCTGCACAAATTCACCAATTATATATGGTGGCTTTGCTGCCTGCCTAGTACTGCAAAAACTTAATGCCTGTCAAACACTAGGCAGGCCAGAATAACTCTTATGGGCTGTATTCAACTTGGTTGGTCAAAAGTTACATTCTGGAGAAGACCAGTATAAGCTTCCTTTTCAAATGAATCCTGTCAAAAATCCTTATTTTAAAATTGTGACATGTGCTACTTTCATTGTACAGATTCCATTTTAAATGTGACAAATGATTCAGTGATAAAATAGACTTAGAGGGATTTGGATAGTCAGAGATGGCTACATAGCATATTCTACAATTCCCTGTAAAATGCTTTAATGATACACATTCTGTATCAGTGGCCACTTATTAAAATTGGTAGGTCAAGACCAAAGCTGTTGTCTCTTTCATGAATAACTTAAAACCCACAAAAGCAAGAAAATTTTGAGAGTTAAGGATATAAGTTCAACCTTAACTCACCCGACTATGCTTAAGAATTTCAGCAAATTCATGTAGGATCATCCCTGTTGTGAGACCCTTGCAGTACCTAGGCATAATGAATTGAAAGGATTAGCTAGAGAGAACCATCACCAAGTAAACTTAGAAAGATGTGTAGGCTTACTAAGGTGAGCTAAGCTACTTAGTTTGGAAAATAAAAGTGGGCTATTTTTCAAAAAATACATGACAGTACCAAAAGACTTCCTTACATGGTTTGTTCCTGTTCTACATTATCTACATAGGAAACACCATATGATATTTGCCATCTAGGTTGATTTAACCCAATGTTTGTTCACATTTGTTGCTACTGAGTTCTTTCTCAGAATGGACTGGATTCACATATTTTCCTGCATGAATAGGCAGGAGCTTCCACTACACCAGAGTAAGAGAAAAATAGTGTTTGCGTATGTGGTCATCCATATGGGGGATTTGACAATGAATGATTATTTATAGATCTTCAAGTATTAACATATAACTTAAGACACCATGCTTCTAGCTAAGGGGAAAATGACAATCATCAAATACCACCTTCTTATTTTACTAGATTTGAGATCTCTGTGCTCAAAAGGCTAAGCAGTGGAAACAGCAAATAGTCTAAAACCAAGTATCAGTTCAGAAAAGTTTGAAACTAGTGTTGTTTTGAATAATTATTGCAAAACCATATAAAATAGTACACCAGAAGCATCTTTGCTTGCTCCTGCATGATCCTTGGGTAACTGTTCAATTATGTAAACAAGGTCTCTGTATGATTGGTGCAAAAAAAAGGGAAGTGGCTTCATGTTTATTATATTTCTATCACCAGGGAACTAAAACTCCTGTACACAGGATTCTGAGGCAGTGGCCTATCCAAATAGTAACTAGTCCTAGACTTGCTTAGCTTCACCAATGTGAATAGAGACACACAAATTTATCTATTGATAAATGCCATAATACGTATGGCAATGAGAATTTTGATTCTATAAATTAAGTTACCTTAAAATCCATGTTTTATCAATTTTCTTATAACTCTCAAGCACTCCTCACTGGCACTCTTGGCGAACAATGCAATGACTACAACCTACTACAGAGGTGGGGTACCAGGGTGTTGACAGATTTATTTTCTCAATGATAAAAGTGAATTCAATTATAGGAAATGTATGGGATCAGAAAGAGAAGACTTAAAACTAGAAGAATGGAACTTCCTCTAACTTCCCAATCTGCAAGCAGTTCAATGAAACTTTAAGCCAAAACTGAAGGTAGCAATGGACAAGAAAAACAAAAGGAATGTAGCAATTCTAAATACTTCAAATTATAAATATACAAGAGAGGTGAACGAATCTGGTCTTAATCAGGTGACTTCCTCTTTGCAGGAGTTACAGTTTCTGTTGTTCTAAAATACAGAATATCCCTGGATGGAAGGTAGGTGAACAGTAGAGAGAACATGAGTGCACACAGACCCAATATGCTGAAGTTGAACTACTCTTTCTAGCTACTGGAGAAACTTGGGCGAGTTAAATATGAATCTGGGTTTTGTAAATTTCTATGAGAACTTAAACAAGAAGTTCATCCAAGAACATAAAAACGTAAGAGCAGTCATGCTCCAGCATTCTATTCAAGAATAGAAACTCACAGCATAACAGCACCCTCCCCAATTGGTAGAAATATGCATAAGGTCTCTGAAACAAGCTTTAACATTAATCCTTTCTGTTGGTGCAGGGTATTCATAAAGCTATTTTTCAGCACCATGTTTTGAAAACTGAATTCTGGCACTATGAATTATTATGGCCTTGGTCTTCAATGAAAAGTCCTTACACTTGATTATATTTTCTAGTTCCTTCATTGCTGCCCATTGAAGTCTCAGTCTTCTTTGAATTTCTTGGCTACTAGCTCCCTTTGACTTGATAACTGAGACAAGATATGTAAATCTTTCACAATTACAATTTCACCACTGTTAAAGTAAAGTTCTAAAATTCTTCTGTGGTCATGCTTTTTATTTTCATAATATTCAGCTGCATTCTTGTTTTTGCACTTTCTTCTTCCACTTTCATTGGGAGTTGTTTCAAGCCATTGCTGCTTTCTTCTAGTAGTATGCTGTCATCTGCATACCTGAAATTAGTGGTATGTCTACTGCCACCTTTCACGCCTTCCTCTGATTCTAATCTAGCTTTCCTTATCACCTATTCTGAGTACATATTAGAGAGATAGGGAGATTGAATACATCGTTGTTTGACACCTTTGTCTGTACGAAATCATTTTGTTTCTCTATATTTTGTCCTAACAGTAGCTTCTCATCCATGAGACAGGTTAAGCAACAACAGAATCAAGTGCTGACTCACCCTTCATTTCTTACTTCTCTCAGGACCATCCTTAGTTTCACATGATCAACACAATCAAAGACTTTGCTGTAACCTATAAAGCGCAGACTGAAGTTTTAAACTGAAATTCCTGCATGATTAATAGAAGTTCAGGGGAGTTTGGAAAAGAAAATGGAAAGCAGTATCTGTTGATATATGAAATAATAATTTATTTTCCGTAAACTCTCATAGAGCCTGGAAAGTTAAGAAGAGAGTCAGTTTGGGGGGTTGTAATATAGGCTGTACCTGTTTAAAATTCCCTTGGCAATTTTATTTATTGTGTCCATTTTAGTTCTGTTTATACTGGTTATTGATCTATTCTACATTGTTCCATGAATTTGTGTATGTTAATAAAAAGTAAAAAAGTAAAAAAACCCCACTGTAATTCTTCACTTCATTTGCTAATATTGCAAGTGCTTCTTCATAAAATTTCTCATTGAAGTCAGTTATCCTTTCATCTCTTCTGCATAGTTCTTCTGTTTATTTTTTCCACCTTCTCTTTATTATATCCTAGTCAGATAATATATTCCATTGTTTGCCTTTCAGTATTCCTAATCCAGGTTTGAATTTTCCTTTCAGTTCTTGGATATTCTGGAAGAGGTCTCTTTTTACTCTTCTGTTATTCTCTTCTATTTCTTTACACTGGGCATTGTAATAAGTCTTTCTGTTTCTATGTGGTAGTCGCTGAAAAACTGCATTCAAGATTCTGACCCTCTTTTTGTCACCTTTTCTCCTCACCTGACCTTAGCAACTGTGAGTGCTTTTACTGTCATCCATCTAGGCTTTTTCTTTCTTTCTGCTACAGGATTTTTTGTGGCATTCTTCCCTAATGTCTCTTGTTTCAATCCACAATCAATTAAATTGAATAATGCAAATCTGTTCTTTATATGGACTTTAATTTTTTTCAGAGATGCTACTGAAGCTGTATTTTGACACTGTATTTCTGCTTATTTTTTTCAGTTTTACGCCGATTTTTGATATCACGAGATCATGCTCACTGCTGCAATCTGTTCCTGGTCTTGACTTGGCATGAAGAACACACTTTCTTCATCTCTAGCTTCCAATTATACACACTATTTGATTTCTGTATTGGCCATCTGGTGATGCCCACTGTAATGTGAACTGGCTCAAAGTCCTATCTGCCATGGAAGAGTTAATGGTGCCTTGTGGGTTTTAGCTGTTTTAGTACTCTCCACCCCTAAAAAAAGAAATGCAA